GCTTTGGGGACCCAGTCAGATCCCCGAGATCACAGAGACTCGGGCAGGTGGTGGCTCCCGGCTTGGGCCGGGGGGCAGGGGGGTGCTGAGCTCTAGAGCTCCCAGCTCCCGGGAGAAAACACCCCCCCTTGCTCAGCGTGCAACGCCCTCAGGCTCTGTGAGTGCCGGCAGGGTCCCCCTGCCCAAGCCTGTGCCATCTTCTGCTCCCACCTTGTCCCTATTAATAACATACCCAGCCGGGCGCGGAGGCTCACGCCTGTAATCCCAGCACTCTGGGAGGCCGAGGCGGGAAGATCGCTCGAGGTCAGGAGTTCGAAACCAGCCTGAGCTAGAGCGAGACCCCGTGTCTACTAAAAATAGAAAGAAATTAGCTGGACGACTAAAAATACATAGAAAAATTTAGCCGGGCATGGGGGCGGGTGCGTGCCTGTAGTCCCAGCTACTCGGGAGGCTGAGGCAGGAGGATCGCTCGAGCCCAGGAGATTGAGGCTGCTGCGAGCGAGGCTGATGCCACGGCACTCAACTCTAGCAGAGTGAGTGACAGAGTGAGACTCTGTCTCAAAATAAAAATAAATAAAAATGACATACCCGCCTGCCCTCATTTCTGGGGGGTGCCCCTTTGCAAAGCGCAAACGCAGGGACACCAGACCACAAGCCAACACCGGCGGCCGCATCCGTGAGCGTGGATGGGTACTTGGAGGAGCCGGTGGTCTGAGCCTGAGATGTGGCCGCTCCTCCCCTCCCTGCTCCAGCCTGCAGTCTGTGACTGCCCTGATCCCCTCTCTCCTCCGAGGTTCCCCCCTGTTTTTATTTCCACGCCAGCCCGGCATGCATTCACGGCTCGCTTTGGGCGAGCACCTCCCCGGCCGGACAGAGCGAATGCCCCCGGTGGGAATATTTGGGGAGGGGCAAGTGCGGTCACTGTGTCTACACTTCTGTCCGGCTGGAAATAGGTCCATTCTGCGGGGCCCCCAGGCTCCGGCCGGCTACACCGTAGGCCGGCTGTTCCCCGCCCCACCCCACCCCGGGGTGATGCATTTGTGGGTTTAGGACGGGCACCCCAGGCTGAGGGCAGGGCCGGGACTTTTCTTAGGGACTTTTTTTATTTAGGGCCGTGAACCCTCGGGACCTGCTATTCCTGGGTGCTTAGTGCAAAGCGGTTTTCTCACCTCTAATGACAAAGTTCTGTTGAAAGCAAAGCAAACAAACCACAAAACCCTTTCATTAAAAAAAAAAAAAAAAAAAAGCGACCTGCAGTGTTTTTCTAAGAAGTTACTAGAAAGTCTTGGAGGGGCTCGGGCCGCCTGGCGGGAAGTCCCGATTTGGAGGCTGAGTTTTATGTCCGTGTCTGCTGACCAATTTGGCTCAAGCGGGTCTGAATCCAGCGGCGGTCTACACCGCACGTTCCCCGATCAAATTGCGAGTTGGGCAGGATGAATAACTAGACGCTATAAGGAGCTCGAACGACTCAGTCGGAAAAAAAAGAAAAACAAATAATCCGGTTAAAAAATGGGCACGGGATCTGAATAGACATTTCCCAAAAGAAGATGCTCAAACCGCCGACAGGTCTGTATAAGACACGCTCCGGGTCCCCAGACATCAGAGAGACGCGAGTCAGAACTGCGGTGAGATGTCGCCTCGCCCCAGGTAAAACGGCTTTTGTCAGAGAGACAGGCGCTAAACAGAAGGCTGCAGAAGGGGGAACACTCCTACGCTGTTGGTGGGAATGAGGACCAGCGCGGCCACCGTGGGGAACACTATGGAGGTTCCTCAGAAAACTGAAAATAGAACCACCACGCGATCCAGCAACCCCACTGCTGGGGGCTCCCCAAAGGAGAGGGACTCGGTGTGTCACAGAGACGCCTGCACTCCCGGGTGTATTGCAGCACGGTTTGCAACAGCCAGGATTTGGGGGCCACCTAAGAGTGCATCAGTGCGTGAATGCGCACATACGCACGGTGCAATGTTGTTGATATGCAATGCAATAACAATATATCATCAAGATGCAATGTAATAACAATATATCATCAAGATGCAATGCAATAACAATATATCATCAATATGCAATGTAATAACAATATATCATCAATATGCAATGCAATAACAATATATCATCAAGATGCAATGCAATAACAATATATCATCAAGATGCAATGCAATAACAATATATCATCAAGATGCAATGCAATAACAATATGTCATCAATATGCAATGCAATAATAATATGTCATCAATATGCAATGTAATAATATATCATCAATATGCAATGTGATAATAATATATTATTAATATATAATATAATGATATATTTTATTAATATGCAATATTATAATAATACATTATTATTATGCAATGTAATAATAATGTTATTAGTATGCACTATAATTATATGTTATTAATATGCAAAATAATAAGATATTATTAATATGCAATGTAATAATATATTATTAATATGCAATATAATGATATATTAATATTAATATACAACATAATAATATATTACTAACATGCAATGTAATAATAATGTTATTAATACACAATATAATAATATATTATTAATATGCAATATAATAATATGTAATTAATATACAATATAATAATATGCTATTGATATACATTATAATGACATATTATTATTAATATGCAATATAATAATATATTATTAATATGCAATGTAATAATAATGTTATTAATATGCAATATAATATTAGTAGTATGCAATATAATAATACATAATAATATACAATATAATAGTATGCTATTAATATGCAATATAATGATATATTGTTAACATGCAATATAGTAATATATTATTAATATGCAATATAATATTATTAGTATGCAATATAATAATACGAAATAATATACAATATAATAGTATGCTATTAGTATGCAATACAATGATATATTGTTAACATGCAATATAGTAAAATATTATTAATATGCAATACAATAATAATATCTTATTAATATGCAATGTAATAATGATATATTATTAATATACAGCCACAAGAAAGAACGAAACCCTGCCGTTGGCAACAACTTGGACATGGAACCAGAGAAGGTCATGTTAAGTGACATAAGCCAACTCTCACGAGTTCTCACTCACACGTGGGAGACGAGCATTGAAAACGACGCTGGCATGCAGACAGGGAGTGGAACGAGGCTTAGCAGAGGGCAGGGAGGGTATCAGGGATCGCGGGAGGGGATGGGATGGTTCACAGGTGCAAAAATATGCCCCCATAGTCAGACAGAACGAACAATATCCGATACAGCACAGCCAAGTGACTGTAACCAACATTAACTCTGGGTACACTTTAAAAATCACTAAAAGCGTGGAACTGGAATGCTCCTAACACAGAGAAACGACAAACGCCCATGGCGGTGGACACCTCGGTCACCCTGCTCTGATGAGTGCACACGGCTTGCCTGTGAGCAGCCCTCACATGCACCCCATAGAGACACGCAGCGGCTTTGTACCCATAACCATTAAAAATAAAAAAAATAGGCCTGGCACGGTGGCTCACGCCTGTAATCCTAGCACTCTGGGAGGCCGAGGCGGGAGGATTGCTCGAGGTCAGGAGTTTGAGACCAGCCTGAGCAAGAGCGAGACCCCGTCTCTACTAAAAATAGACAGAAATTAATTGACCAACTAATATATATATAGAAAAAATTAGCCGGGCGTGGTGGCACATGCCTGTAGTCCCAGCTACTCGGGAGGCTGAGGCAGGAGGATCGCTTGAGCCCAGGAGTCTGGGGTTGCTGTGAGCGAGGCTGACGCCACGGCACTCACTCTAGCCTGGGCAACAGAGCGAGACTCTGTCTCAAAAAATAAAATAAAAATACACAAAATTACAAGTTGGGATTGTCAGGGAGGGAAGAAAAGGGAGTCAAGAAATGGTCTGCGATCCGTGCACGCTAAGAAGCTCCGATGGGGGCTGAATTCCTCGTCTGTCGGCTTCCGCGGCTGTTGGACACACCACGTGTGTGCCAGTAAAGCTAGCGTGGATTGTGGAGGTGCACCCCAGGGGTACCCCACACCCGGGCTCCCCGGCTCAGCTGTGGCAGCCGGAATACAACTTGCAACCTGGGGACATCGAGCCAGAGGGGTGTCCGGGGAGCCCCCTAGGCCGGCAGCTGTGGGCAAGAGCCCGGCCCGGACTGCCAAGGTCAAAGGTGCATCGCCATGGACACAGACAGGGGGGTGGCGCGAAAATGTACCCAACGCGCGCGTGCTCAGCTTGGAAGTGAAATCCCAGAGCCGTCGAGGGGCGAGCCCCGCTCTGCCCGCCGGCCGGGAATGCACTTTTCCCTCCTCGCTTTCTCCTCTGGGACGTTTCTAAGACGGCTTCACGCCGGAGCAGGGAGCCCGGGCACGGCTCTCTGCAGAAACCCCCGGAACGAGGCGGTGAGCACAGCCAGGTGGGTGTGCAGTCCTTCCCGGAGAGCCGGGCACAGAGACACGCCTGGCCAGGGCCCCCGCTGGCTCCTTGCGGGGTGGACCTCACCCTTCCACGCCCTCCCCCGAGGCCACCGTGCGGTGACCCCCTCCTGGCCCAGGGGCCGCTCTGCCACATGACGTGGCCACAGAAAACACCAACATTGACTTCAACAAAAGCCTCCCACCTTTCGGAAGCCAGAAATCCCCGTGAGCGGCTGGAACAGGGCGCCCACCTTCTCCATGCGGCCCAAACGCCCTTTTCTTATCCTTTTTTTTTTTCTTCTTTTTTTGTCTTACTGGATCTGATCCTGAACTCAAGCGTAAAACACAAAAAGGCAGCTTGCGATAGGCTTTTATCTGATCGGAATTCAGGCTCGTTTGTTAGCAGAGACTGAGAAACCTCCCGAGGGCACCGGGTGACTTTTGCAAAGAGGACGGCAGCAAGGGTGCAAAGGGGACCCCCAAACCAAATGACCCGAGGAGGGGCTGTTAAAATAAAAGACATTCCTGTGAGCACGCACGACCGACCGGCCATGTCCCCAGGTGTTGGTTGCCTTACCTGTTCCGGCCGTCCCCAAAGCCATCAGGCGTCCCAGTAGACAGACAACGGCTGCAGCGGCAGCCCAGGGCAGGAGGGACCCCCGCATGCTCGGGGAGACGGGAGGAAAGCTAGACAGAGCGAGTCAGGGACCCAGGGCTCACGGCCGCAGCGAAGCGAAGCGATCTAGCTTCATGACTCATCTGCAGAGGTCAGCCCCGGCTTTAAAAAGGCAGAAAGGAAGCCGGGCGAGTGATGACAAGCAGGAAACTGAGTCATGCTTGTTTCTTTTTTAAAAAAAAAAAAAGAAGATGACATTTATCAACGAGAGGGAAAAAAAAACCTACGAGGATCCATATCTGCACACACCCTGCTGAGCGTTGCCAGGAAGCGTACGAGATAGTGACTTTCTGCAGCCAGGGCTCTGGCTGTCTGGCGGACAGCGAGAATTGGGGGCGTTCGTGCAGGTGGTGCATGGTGGGACAGCCGGGGTCCCCCTGCTGCCGAGCTGGGCTGCCCGTGCAGAGGTGCTCAGGGTCTTAGGTGACTTTGGCACACCACAAACACCGCCGGTGGGCACACCCTGGACAGAGGACACTCTAGTTTCAAACCAGAGAGAGAGAGAGCTGACCGCAAAAGGCACAAAGGCTTTCCAAGATCCGGGCTCATGGCTGGAGGATCCCCCTCTGGCAAATGCACAGTGCTCGGGGCAGAGCCCGGGGGTCCTCCCTTGTTGACCCCAAGCTCCCTCTTAGAAGCCAGGCAGAAGGGACAACGGCATCATCTGTAGGGGACATGGTGGCTTGGGGACTTTTGGAGGACAAACGGAGAACCGCATTGCAAGGCGTCACTGGGGAGAGTGGTTTTAGGTGTGGTTTGCCCAAAGGCGGGAAAGCCCGTATTGACCTTGAAATGACATTTCTGTCCACGGCCGGGGTCCCAGGACTGGGTGCCCAGCCACCCTCGCTAAGAAAGACAATGCCGATGGCAACTTGCGCTCGGGGAAGCGTTTCGTGGCTGCAAAAAGGGCTTTCGCGTACATCCGCTTACAAACGCCACAGGTGTGCCCACTTGCACAGGCAAAGTCTGCACCGATATCTCCGCCTTGGAGACAAAAACTGGGGCTCCAAACAGCTGAGAGGGAGGGGTCCCTGCAAATTGCCCACGGAGTGCAGGGGAGACCCGGGTCTTTCCCAGATCCAGCCCAGGAGCCCTTCCACCTGGGTTCCCCCTAGAGCTCAGACATCCAACTCGGAAAACACAGGTCCACCTGTCCGAAAATCAAGGTGTCAGCAGGGCTGAGTTCTTCCAGAGGTTCTGGGGCTTGGCACCTGGTCTACTGTCATTTCTATCTTCTAGAAGCCACCTGCAGACCAAGGTTTGGAGACTCACATTCCTCCAACCTCTGCTCCCATCCTCACCTCTGCTTCTCAGGCGCTGACCCTCCCGCCGGCTTCTCATGGGGACCCTGGTGAAGGCATTGAGGACACACTTGAGTAATCAGGGGTAACGTGGCCATCTCAAGACCTTTCACTGAGTGATTTCTGCAATGTTCTTTTCCCAAGTAAAGTCACGTTCAAAAGTTATGTAGATCAGGACGTGGACATCTCTGGGGACGTTATTCTGTCTACCACATGGGATTAGGATGTGTACATCTCTGGGGACATTATTCTATCTACCACATGGGATCAGGATGTGGACATCTCTGGGGACATTATTCTGTCTACCACATGGGATTAGGACGTGGACATCTCTGGGGAAATTATTCTGTCTACCACATGGGATTAGGACGTGGACATCTCTGGGGACGTTATTCTGTCTACCACATGGGATTAGGACGTGAACATCTCTGGGGACATTATTCTGTCTACCACATGGGATTAGGATGTGGACATCTCTGGGGACATTATTCTGTCTACCACATGGGGTTAGGATGTGGACATCTCTGGGGACATTATCCTGTCTACCACATGGGATTAGGACGTGGACATCTCTGGGGACATTATTCTGTCTACCACATGGGATCAGGACATGGACGTCTCTGGGGACATTATTCTGTCTACCACATGGGATCAGGACATGGACATCTCTGGGGACGTTATTCTGTCTACCACATGGGATTAGGACGTGGACATCTCTGGGGACGTTATTCTGTCTACCACATGGGATTAGGACGTGGACATCTCTGGGGACGTTATTCTGTCTACCACATGGGATTAGGACGTGGACATCTCTGGGGACGTTATTCTGTCTACCACATGGGATTAGGACGTGGACATCTCTGGGGACATTATTCTGTCTACCACATGGGATTAGGACGTGGACATCTCTGGGGACGTTATTCTGTCTACCACATGGGATTAGGACGTGGACATCTCTGGGGACGTTATTCTGTCTACCACATGGGATCAGGACATGGACATCTTTGGGGACATTATGCCCTCTGCCACATGGAGATTGGGACACTGGCAAATTTGGGGGTGGGTATTTTTTATTCTGTCTACCCCCCCACACCCCGAGGCAAACTCTGGAGGACAAAATCATTAATATGAACCTGTCTTTACCTGGCCGTGGTGCATGCTAGGAAACCCCAAAGCAGGAAGCAGAAGACCCCGGGTGCAGGGCAGGGCAGGGTGGGGTCTCTGATGGAAAAGGTTGGGCCGGTCCCCTCCTTGCAGGGTGGGACAGCAAATGCCTCTTAGTTGCTCCCTAGCATTTCTGTGGTTTTCGTGGGATGAGTCACCCACCCCAGGCCATCATGCGGCGGTGGCAGTCCATGTCAGTGACTGGGAACTAGCAGTCCTAGAGAAGTTCTGACGTCCAAGTCTGAGGACTCTCCTGCCCCGGGGGACAGGGCCACCTCACATCACATCTGGCCCTGAACTCTGCAGACTCGTGACCACAGCTACCCACGGCCAGGGCTGCTCCAAGATGCAGGCCACCAGCGGCCAGCTCACCCAGGAGAGAGAACTTGCCCTTTCGCCAGAATGCGTCAAGTCCCCGCCCTCAAGCTCTCGCTCACTCCTACGTTCTGGCCCTTCAGGAAACTCTACCAAGGCCCCGGCATTTGCCAGCCCCCAGAGCCTGGCCCAGAGGGCTGGAGGAGCTACAGAGGCAAGGAGGACCTCATGAGGTTCTTTGAGGTAGAAATTGCCGTGTCTGCTGCAGTATTAGAGAGCAGGTGACAAAGTTGAGGAGAAGCACCATATCTGGTGGAACCATCTAGAAAGCTGGGGAGGAGAAGGCAAGGTGAGTGATGTCTAGCACATCAGCCCAGGACACTCTACATCTGCTGCTCGTACAGATGGCAGAAGGGGCTTCCGGCAGCATTCACTCAAGACACACACCTGTGGAGTGTCTCCTACATCCCAGGTACTGCACGGTTGGTCGTGATAGCACCTAGCTCAGGTCGACGTGGGATGGAAAGTGCTGACACACATAAAGCACTGAGCAGGGCTCCGAGTTAAGCACCCAGCCCATGTCCACTCTTACCACTGGGCAGGAGAACTGCATGTGCTGGTGTCCAGGGGAGGCAAAGAAGCTGTAGACTCAGAAAAAGGTCACCAGACAGGCCCCCATGGAAGATGCAAGAGGAGGTGAACCACCCACAAAGCCTTGTGACATGCACAGGGCCGTGGTGAGCTCTCTGAAGAAGACAGACCAGGAGACCAAGGGCCAGACCAAAGGCAGAGCCGCTGATGTCTGTGGGGTGGTCAGAGGGAAGGTTTTTCTGATCATGAACCTTCAGGAGTGAGGGAAGGAGTCTCCCAGCCCAGGCCTGGCCTCTCACTCGCCCAGGGTTTCTAAGCCTCCACACGAGGGACACTTGGGCTGGATCGTTCTTGGTTGTGGAGGCCCCGTCCCGTGCACTGTGGGGTGTAAAGCAATATCCCTGGGCTCCACCCACCAGATGCCAACAGCACCCACCACCCCAGGTGTGACAATAAAAATGTCCCCATTGTTGAGTGTCCCCTGGGCGGGAATGGAATTACGCTTGATAGTAAATCTCTGCCTTAGATAGCAAGATAGATGATAGATGGATTGATGATTGATAGATACATAAATACATAGATACATACATACATAGTTGATGGACATATGATAGTAGATGATTGATAGATACAGACATACATAGTTGATGGACATACAGTAGATGATTGACAGATACATAGATGGCAGATACAAGCATACATAGTTGAGATATACTATCATCATATATATGCGATGATAGTAGATGATTGACAGGTACGTAGATGACAGATACAGACATCCATAGTTGATGGACAGATGATAGATGATTGACAGGTACGTAGATGACAGATACAAACATCCATAGTTGATGGATATGTGATAGTAGATGATGATTGACAGATACATAGAGGACAGATACAGACATGGTTGATGGACATGTGATAGTAGATGATTGGCAGATACATAGATGGCAGATGCAGACATACATAGTTGATGGACATGTGATAGTAGATGATTGACAGATACATAGATGGCAGATGCAGTCATCCATAGTTGATGGACATGTGATAGTAGATGATTGGCAGATACATAGATAACAGATACAGACATCCATAGTTGATGGACATGTGATAGTAGATGATTGACAGATACATAGAGGACAGATACAGACATCCATAGTTGATGGACATGTGATAGTAGATGATTGTCAGATACATAGATGGCAGATACAGATATACATAGTTGATGGACAGATGATAGTAGATGATTGACAGGTACATAGATGACAGATACAGACATCCATAGTTGATGGACAGATGGTAGATGATTGACAGATACATAGATGACAGATACAAACATCCATAGTTGATGGATATGTGATAGTAGATGATTGGCAGATACATAGATGGCAGATACAGTCATCCATAGTTGATGGACATGTGATAGTAGATGATTGACAGATACATAGATGGCAGATACAGACATCCATAGTTGATGGACATGTGATAGTAGATGATTGACAGATACATAGATAACAGATACAGACATCCATAGTTGATGGACATGTGATAGTAGATGATTGACAGATACATAGAGGACAGATACAGACATCCATAGTTGATGGACATGTGATAGTAGATGATTGGCAGATACATAGATGGCAGATACAGATATACATAGTTGATGGATATATGATAGTAGATGATTGAC